ATCAGTATTGCAAGAAAAATAAGTGTTTAAAAATACATTGTTACCTTTCTTTTTAGATTATAACATTATTTTTAATAAGTATAACTATAATTTTCATGATTGTTACATTACTTTTCAGGGAAAAATGATTCAGCCTTTCAAAAAGTAAACATATTTTTGTTTTGTTTAGATAAGTACCTAGTCATGTGAATAATTCCATTTTATCTATACAAAGTCATATCATAAAGGTTAAAAATGCACGATCAATTAAAATGCTATTGGAGGTATTGTATATCGCAAAAGACTATTTTGAAAATATCCAGCTGTATAGCAATTCAGTAGCCACATTATGAAATAGAAAAGCACTAAAATATTGCCATTGTATTTTTCATAAAATTGTCTTCTTATTGACACATGTGGAAGGAGGTGACTTATTTTCAGTCAAAACTTTGAAAACTGACTGGCACTGTCTGTGCCTTTTTTGTTACTACTCCCAATTCTCCTGACATATTTGAAGGTTATTTTTAACCAAGCCTGGAGACTCTTTCCTGACTTGGCATGTCACTCTAACATACTTCTTCAATAAAGATAAATGGAAGAATAAGATCTTCATGGAGTGTTGTAGAATAAAATTAAAGAAATAGATATAATATAGCATTTCCTGAAATGCAAGAAGTTAAGTTTTTCTCATTAAAATTGAATGCCCATGACTTGCCTGTGTGACATATCTCTATGATGGCTCATGCATCTGTAAGTTATCCTCCTGGGAATGAGGTAGGTGTTGGAAGGTTACTTATATTCAGCATCAATTGCTGCTCTGATTTCCAAGGCTAAGGGGAAGTTATGGTAATTACCAGCCTTGACTACTGAATCAGGAACCAGCCCTCAGAGAAACCGTTTCCCCAGTGGGCTTATGTGTTGACAGTTTTTTTCCTCCCTCCCTCATAGCTTTGAAGAAACAGTGGGCTACTTTGGGATAAAGCCAAAGCCTGGCGAGAAGGAGATCACACCAAACTACGTTTTCACGGTGTGGTACGAGTTCTGCAGTGACTTCAAGACCATTTGGAAACGAGAGAGCAAAAGCATTTCCAAGGAACGGTAAGGTTCTAATAAAGTCATTAATACCATTTTAGATGTCTGGGAAACTGTTCCTTCTCAAACCCAACAAATTATACTCCTATATTTCACAGGCGTCATTGTTTTCTTTCAGATCTAATGGACATCAAGGAAAGATTATTCCCCCAGGGTGCGTAGGAAAATTCACCAAAGGCATGCTGTCCCCACAAAAAGATAAACACATATAATCTGATAAATTACACTTTTGTAACCCCTTCCAATTACTAGCTAGTAAAATGAAAGGGGAGCTGTGCTAATTTGTAACAGATTGCTTCTCTGTGCATTTTCATGTTGAACTAGCCTAAATGAGGCGATATTGCTGTCGCAGACAGTACAGACAAATAAAAGTGAATGCTTTTCCAGTTAATATACTGCACTTGCATCAAAGGGAAGCCCCAGAGATTCAGGCCACACTTAGCACAGTGTCGAAGCCCCACACTGAATTTACAGCACTACTTCTGACTTTTGGTGTCCTGCTGAGGACATCAAACTACTTGCCGCTAGATCTCACCAGTCTCCTGATTTTATTAGTCAGAGTAAGGGAGGGAAAAAAAAAAAAAAAAGAAAACCTTCAATTATTTTCTTGATTTTCTTAAAGAAGTTTTAAAATCTTTTACAAAGAAAACCAATTCCACCACAAGGGTACCATGCTTACCATATCTCAATCCATTTGAAAAGACCTAAAGAGTGGTAATGGTGTCATGCTTTGGCAAAGAATGGATTAATCACTTTCAACATGAAATATAAGTCCAGATGCTTATTCCAAGTTGACACATTTAGAGAAAAATGTCTTTAAAAGTATCAACAAAAGTTGTAAACTCATTTACACTTACTTTTTCCATTTTGCTCCCTATCAGTGGGGCTTTTAGCTTCATGTAGAAGTCGTTATTAAAAGACAAGATGTAGAAATTATAAATTCCCAGTTATCACCTTATCACCATTGTTTTACAGATACTACAGATTTTACACACATAAAGTTGTAGCTTTTTGTATCACTTCTGTTATGATTAGATTGATTTTAGAAGCTGACAACTGCAAACATTTACAAATAATCTTTTATTTCCTTGTGTCTAGATCAATATGCAAGTTTGTTTTCCACGTTAAAAACTGTATAAAATAAACAGTCACTAGCAGATTGCTGTAATCATGATATGGATCATCTTAGGGATGTGTTTGCTGAATCATTACTTGCTTTTGTTCCAAAAGCAGTTAGGAGGAATAGAAATTAACTACCCAAGGAAAAACAAAGTGCAGACCATACATCCATTCCTTTTTTTATGTAATTATCACCTTGCTGATGGTATACCATCATCCCTTCAAAGGAATTGATTTAAAATGCATTGTAAATCTTTTAACACTCTCTAATCTTTTTACTTTCTTAATACAATGCTCAAGAAATCTTTGTAAGTGAACTGATATATTCTGTGCTTTTCTACTGGGGTGAGATGAGAATTTCTCATGGTTTAATAATTATATAAATAAAATCTACAAATAAAAATACAGCACAAATATTTAATCAGCCCCTTTGATGGATACCTTAACTCCTATTCATAAATGTAAAGCAATGCCAGTAGAATGCAGAGCACCAGTTACTGTAATACTTCAGAGTGCAGACACTTTCTGGATTTTATATATGTATACGAATACATGCTGTTTTTCAGACTTCACTTCAAATTATTTTTATTATTTCATTAATAATTTTTATTATTTCATTAATCTCAAAAGGATTGTCCTTTACAGTACGTGTCATTGTCCTTTGCATTCAAAATTTGGGTCATTCATCAAGACAATGAGCTGCCAAAATGAGGAACTTTGTGTAATAACTGAATTAGAATGACAAAAAAACTGTTTTCATCATCCTAAATTGTTTTGTAATGTTCCACTGAAAAGAAGAATCTGTAGATTTAGTATATATGGTCATGAAATCAGTAGATTAGAATGATGGAGAAGTTATTTTCATTACCTGAAAGTGTCCTGTAAAGTCATGACCATTTAAGGATTGTGTTTTGCAAAGTATGAGACTAACAGTTGATGAGCTGCTGTCCAGAAAAGTTTGAAAGCAAGTTAAGCATCATTGTGCACTTTGGTAACTAAAAACCTTAGTATGACAGGAATGGACAGCTGTCTTCCTTAACGCGCTAATTAATTGGATGCACTGTTTGTTTTGCATTTTTAAATATTGTCATTTAATTTTATTTTTTTTTTTTTAAATCTGCTTGCCATGAACCAATTCTTTTGTTTTAAAGGAAATTTTAAAGAGGAAGAATTGGCAGTATTAGTCAGTATTTTTAAACTTGGGTTCTGAAACTGAGGCATTGAGATACTTATGTGAACACATTTACAATTGGATTACCCTTCAGATTTCAGGAGGAACTGCAGAAACAGCATAAAATGTATCTGAATTAGCTAATCACATAGAAACCTAAGAATGGATTTCCTTGTTTAAATTATATAGGATTGTTAATATTGGATTATAATTTGTCTCTCAATAAATATGGCTTAGAAAATTAAAAATTACTTATAATATGCAGAATTATCATTATGTAAAGGTATAATTAAAAATGTATTCGCTTACAATTCATAGTAGTAAAAATAGGTCAAAAGATCCGAGATTCCACAATTAAATTTTTATTCTCAAAACTAAATACTTTGCATTGTATGACAGTCAACTTTAAAATCACAGAGAATTTCAGGAAAAAAGAGTACCGCCTTGAACTAAATGACAGCCTCAGCTGCAAGAGCGTGTTTAGTCTAAAAACTACTTGGCTCCCAAATGTAACACAACTGTAGAAATCTAATTAGATTTCTATGATACTTTTTCCTAAAGTAAAGGAAACATTTTAATTGAGCTGCCCTGCATTTAACCTACCATGAAAATAAATTAGCTGCCTGCAAAATATAGTTGAATCATTGTCTCTTTCCTGGATAAAATTTGCACACCATTTAGGAATGCAAGACAGAGTTACAGATAGATAACAAACCTAAATAGATGTGATGTGAAGCAATGTGATACGGTATGGTATGGTATGGTATGGTATGGTATGGTATGGTATGGTATGGTATGGTATGGTATGGTATGGTATGGTATGGTATGGTATGGTATGGTATGGTATGGTATGTGATATGTTAAATAAATGACTGTAGAGATAAATGAAGAAAGATTTCAAAACCATATTACTGATAGCAATATGATAATAGTTTTCTTTCAGAAACTACAGTACAATAAAATTTGCTTTGACAACTACATCTTCATCTCTGACAAACAGCTTAATGTAAATGCACCATAATATTCACCAAATGTTGTAGACTTTTGTTTTGCGTCAAACCCCAGTTTTGTTATTGACAACTTTTATAATTTAGTATGTCTGTGCATCCAGGTACATCAACTGCTTTTATGCTTTGTTTTTAATATTTTGAGATGATAACTGAATTGAAGACTAAAACAACAGGGGTGGGGGTGTTTTTTTGTCAAGAAGGCACACCATGGTAGAGTGCATATAATTCACTCCATTTATATGCAGTAGGCATGTCTATGAATTCAGAATCAAAACAAATGTATTTATAACAATTTAAATGCTCTCTATATATATGAGAGCCTATCTATAAGTCTATTAAAGCATTCAAGATCTGTTAAAGTATATTTTAAGAGGATATTGTAGCCAATTCTGATTATAGGGAAAAAGTGTAAATACAGAAAAAATACTAATAGTTTGCAGTAATTTAATCACAAACTGTGATTGTACATTTTGCAAAAGAAATGTGACAGGGATTATCATTATGTGTTTATGGGTGTTACCCTGCAGATATAAAATAATTATATATAAAAGGAATTATTGCTGTTAATTTGACCCACTGCTTACACTGCAAAGATAAGACTGCTATAATCGTTAATGTACAGGTTTGAAAAGCAGAAGTTCTGACTGTAGCAGTGTAGGTAGCTAATTGTAAAGATGAAAATGTCCTAACAAAAGAAAAAGCACTGAGCAGTGCTCAACTCGTTTTTGTTTGTTATAGTAAATTGAAGCTGGCTATAGCTTTCTACCCAACTCTTCCATTTATTAAATACAGAATGAATCATATTCATTGCCTTCTATTTCTGCACAAGAAAAAAGTCTGAGGTGTCCTTGTTTGTAACACCACATGGTCATAAGAGAAAACATGTAAACTGCAAAATCTCTTTAGCAGTACAGGCCAGTAACCAATGGTTATTTTAACCATTGATTAAGCTAATTACGAGGCTATCTTGTGCTTAATAAATGACTGAAATTTGACAGAAACACTTGTCCCATTTTCAATATCATAGTGAGCAAGAGGAAATAATCTTTGGTTCAAGACATTCTATCTATTTTAGAAGGCTATATTTTACAGTTTTATTTTAAAAGTGATTTTTTCTTTCATCTATTGTATGTCACATATATGTTACCTAAGACAATGAGAGTTGGTGAGAGTCTAGATTTATAGCCATTCTGATCAGTTTGTACTGTGGTAGAACACCGTCCTGAGCATTAGTCAAACACGCCAAAACGGGGCATCATCCAGGTATCGTACAATCTGCATGTATGATAAAAGCCAAAAGATGAGTGTAACCAATTTTATTTCATTTGATATTAAACTAATAGTCTAATAAGGCAAACTGACATCACAGCATAAATGAGTTTTAAGGAATTATTTGAAATATGATCATTAGGAGACTTTATGGATTTATGCTGGGAGTTCCTTGTACACAGAATTGTGTCATGAGCAAAAGGCAACAATTGTGAGAAAATCTGATCAATGAGCCCTATAGCATTACCAGACTGGATGCTAATGGTTCATTTGTCATAGAAAAGCTTTTGGAGTGAGTTTAAGTTAATTGTGCTTGAGTGAAGAAAGGAAAGAAGGTGACATTCTACATGTCTACATTCTACATGAGTTTTGAGTGGATTTTAGATGACCAGTGTTGCCTTTGTCTATACCAGAAAGGTAGGGTTGAAGTAGCTGGTACATGAATTAATGAAGAGTTGTACCAGATTTTTCAGTAATGCAGACAGAGAGAAAAGGGAGGATTTTTACATGTTTCTGAGGTTAAGGTGTACCTATGGGGCAAATTGAGGAGATAATTACAAATTACAGGCTTGTGCTGCAAAACAGAAATGGCTATTTTCCATAGAGCGTACAACAGATCTGGCAAAGTGCTGCATCAAGGTTCTTGCTCTTGGAAAGAAAATAGTGTTTCTTGTTTGGTGTTACTAGAAAAGCACTATAGAACAAAATAGAAAACATCACTGAATCATTATATGAATCAAGTTACCCATATGTAGTTCTTCTCTGTTCCTCTTCAAAAGGTTGTTGGTAGAGCTGGGAGAGGTAAGAATAAGAAGGATCAGGTACTGAACAGCTTCTGCATAAGGAACCATTCAAATACAGGGGAATCCTTTGCCTTGGAAAGGACCCTACTGAAAAGGATATGTATAGGGATCTGTACAGGCATACAGGGTGAGTGGGAAAGTCATCACAGACCTCACATAACAATTGAAGAGCATCAAACGAAATTAGCAAGTGGCTGGTGCAAGTCAAATGCAGTGATGCCTCTTTACAGTAGGAGTACTTAATTTATTGAACACTTTGCCCCAAGATGCCACATGCCAAAAGCTTGCATTGCTTCCAAATGGTGACAGTAGGAATTCATATTAGAAATATCTGTGAAGGACTGTTACATATGAAGAGAGCTTCCAGCTGTAAAAGTATTCTGGGGGTTATCATTTTATGCTTTGGCTGTCTTTATATGCTCCTAGGTATCTGCTAGCGGCCCCCTCAGATGAACAGATGCATATTTTTTATCTGAATTGTTGAAAACTTTTTCTTCCTATTGTTTTTTTCTTATGCGCCAGATTTCCTAAAGGCATAAAAACAGATAATTTTTTTTTGTGACTACAGAGCTAAAATTTCTCACCCACTTTATACAGATAATCAAAATACTGTCAGTAAAGCCAGAAAAATAGAAACATATCAAGTGTATTAGCAATTTGAGGTTTGGAGACAAATTCCACTGACAACATACATTTTACTGTATTTGTACTGATTGAGTTAGTGAACATAAATTCAAAAATATTTGATCAATAATGACCAAGATCTCTCGAGAATAATTAAGCCTGAAGGCTTTATCAGGCAATTGTATTGTACAACACAGTAATAGAAGTGGACAATGTTCAAACTTCATAGTCTGTTATAAGGCTACTAATTGTGAAGCTAACCAAGAACTCCATAAAATCATCTTCCAGGTCAGGTAATACACAGGCATCTGTCTTCTAAAATTTTGAGACTGAAACGTAGCCCGTTACTGTAATAATGTAGCCATATTACATGGGCTAACACTGTTTTCAGGAAACAGTGCTGTTACTTAAGAATTAGTTTATGGGCTGCATACAGAAATTACATGACTGAGAACAGTAAGGCATGTAACACATGAAAGGAATTTGAGCTATGGAGATATTTCTTAGTCTCTCAAGAGAAGTCACTGTTCAGCTGTGTTACGGATCTGGGCTGGGTATGCAGCTTGGCTCTAGGTTGAACAGTTGATGTTGACTGTAGCTACCTCGGCTTGTTCATCTCCACCCATATCTGAAGATTTGGTTGGCACAACAATTCCTATGCCAGCACAGTCTTATGGGAGAAGTTTGAACTTCAAGTTGTGGAAATCTCAGGTGGCACAGAATTGTCATTTCAAGATATTTTATAACCCGCAGATATCCACATAACCCACCAGCTGCGTGGAAGGAGCGGTAGAAGTGAAGAGAATGGATTATTCCAGAATATCAAGAGTTTGAGAGAGAACCAAATAATTTGGCTTCTGTCTTTGCACAATAGCAGAGCCTGAACACACATGAGTAGCAACTGACTTGTTTAGAAAGTATTCTCATTTTTCTAACTGGGGACTTCAGAGCATGGAGCATACCAGCTCACACCTTCTTCTGTCTGACTTGAATGGGAAGCAGGGATGCAAATGATAATGAATTTATCTGGCTAGTCCCTAGCTTGATCCCCCTTTTCCTGTAAGGGGGAAAAGTATTTTCATGAGTTTATGAAAAAAACTTTTAATAAATATGGGGTTATGTTTAGATTTAGCTTCTGTGTCCCTAGTTACTAAATAAAATTAACAATTTTGAATATAAATAATGTCTTTATTTTTCACTAATACGTTCTAAGAGACCTGACTTGTATTCAGTTTACAGGGTAAGACAACACCTGCCACGTAGAAGCAAGAAAAAGCCAATTATATCCCCATTGCTTATAGTAAAGATCCATATGCAGTATTGGAGTCATTGTTCTCCTAATTAAAAATACATTGTTCTGATAATTTAATTTGATATTGTTTATTGTGTGGTAATGTGCAGTACAGCTCAGTATTACATTTGACACCCCATCTTCTTTATTGATTAACATATATTGACCTCTTTTGCTCAGTGTTGAAGGAGAGTAACTCTTCTTTTGAACACATCCATGTTGCATCTGGTCAGATTTCAAGACTTAACTGACCTACATTCCTTAATTTTTTGGCCTCGTTATTTCTTGCACCACCTGCACACCTTTTGTCTCCGTGTTGTGATTAAGCTGTTCTAAAAGACTTTCTGGTCTCTTTGTCTTCTGCGGTGCTCTGTGTTCCGAACTGTCATTATCACTATTTTTCTAGCACACACTACACACTTCTATCCCTTCTTGCTTTTCTGTTTTAGACATACTTCTGTTGACTTTTCTATTCCCCTTTCTTCCTCCTTGATTTCACATTTATTAAATTCAATCCCAATTTCTCTTCCATGACATTTCTAAAACATGGCTAGACTATTGTGTGTATCCATGTTTTTTTTTTATACTGATATAGGAAGAAAAAAATCTTTTCACTGAATCCATTCCTTTGCACATTTCCAAACTCCCCCTCATGGTCATGCCTCTGTAAATGTCCAGTTCATGTGAGCTGCTCCCCTGTACATTAATTCTCATAACAAAAACTCTGAAGAAAGGGATATAGATTGGTTGGTGAGATGCTTAGTTCATGTTCTTCAGCCTACACCTGTGAGCTGTAAATTGTAGAGCTCTATCTCAGGACTTGATTCTGCTACTGTTTCTCCAGAATAAGATTCTTGAGGAGGTTCTTGTCAGAATACATATTAGTTCTTAATTAATAAAAAACTTCCTTAAATTACAGAATTTAGCAGTCCTTGCTATCTTTCCAGCTGGGAACAGGGGTTCTTTAGCCTGGGGGAAAGGAGGCTGAGAGGAGACCTTATCAATCTCTACAACTACCTGAAAGGAGGTGGATGTTGGTCTCTTCTCCCAGATAACAAGCAATAGGATGAGAGGAAATGGCCTCAAGTTGCCCAGGGGAGGTTTAGGTTGGATATTAGGAAAAATTTCTTCACTGAAAGGGTTGTCAAGCATTGGAAGAGGCTGCCCAGGGAAGTGGTTGAGTCACCACCCTTGGAGGTATTTAAAAGACTTGTAGACTTCTACTTGGTATCTCATGTAACACTTAAGTAACAATGAGCTTAAGTAAAGATGAATTGCATAAAGATTTTAAGCCCATACTTTGTAAAACTCACCCCCTAACCAGTGTCACTAGTAAACTAAATAAGACTAGTAAATCTACAGTAAATGTTTAGTAATGTATTTCAAAGTCCTCTTTAGATGTTTGTGGCCCTTATGCTGAACACAAGACTTAAGTGGATTTCCTATATTTCCTCAAATTCTTTTCTATTCCACCTGATTTCTATAAAGTATAAATGTTAAAATTGGTCACCTTTATTATCATCTAATATAACTGCAGTTACTCACAATGAAGAAGGGATATTTAATAGAATATTTATTCACCTTACCTTTTGACATTCTATCACTTAGCTACTTGTTCAGACTCTGAACAAGTAGAAGTAGTCAAGGAAGTTT